TATTATTATAATTGTTATTTTTATTATTATCATATTCATTATCATCATCATCATCCTTTTCACTATCATTATCATTATCATTATCACTATCAAAATCATAATCATAATCATAATCATAATCATAATCATAATCATAATCATAATCATAATCATAATCATAATCATTATCATTATCATTATCATTATCACTATCACTATTATTATCACTATACTCTCACTATCACTATCACTATCACTATCACTATCATTATCATTATCATTATCATTATCATAATCATAATCATTATCATTATCATTATCATTATCATTATCATTATCATTATCATTATCATTGTCATTGTCATATCATTATCATTATCATTATCATTATCATTATCATTATCATTATCATTATCATTATCATTATCATTATCATTGTCAATGTCATTGTCATTGTCATTATTATAATTATTATTAGAAGTAAAGAATTTGTAAAACCACGTGATGGTATTTAAAACTTTGTAAAATGCATCCACAAACTTTACCTTGCACATCTCCAGGGTGCACAAGTATAGAAGGAAATGGTGTCCCTTTTAACATTTCTGATATTTTCAAGACGTATGGGGGGCATACCCAAAACACACAAATATGATGATTCTGGGTTACCCACAAAGACCGAGACTGTAAAGACGACTTGAAATTTTTGAAATATAACAATTTAAACTTTAAATTAATTCTTCTACCTTGAATGCGTGTAGTAAATACCCTATTCCATAGTAGTTTCTCGAACAAGTATCTATTCAGGTACAACTCAGATCCTCTTGACTATCAATGTCCATACACGACTACAAGCCCGTGAACTATCATCGCCACTACCAATAGGTGCGATCTAGTTACCTATCGATGTCAAAATGGACACTATGCAATTAATTAATCAATGTCTCAACCAGGACGCGATCCACACGGCTACAATCCCGTAAATTATCAATGCCACTAACACTGGGCGCGATCTCGTTAGCTGTAGATGTCAACAAGGACACAATTAATTGATCAATGCCTCAACCAGGACACGATCCACATGGCTACAATCAATGCCAATACTATGGACACAATCTCATGAGCTATCGATGTCAACCAGACACTAGCTGATAATCTATAGCAACGCCAAACCAATGGGCGCGATCTCAGCCCATATGTTTCAATGAGATCAACGAGATCAAGTCCAAGTCTCTAATGCAACTAACTTTATTTCTTCATGTTAGATTATAATTGGGTCTTAACAGCGTAATTACAAGTTATGCCCTGTTATATATAACGTAGTTAAACAATTACAATATGGGTAAGACAGAGTTATATATATCTGCGTATATAGATTGGGTTAATCACATGACTTACCTATTTACTAATGGGCACATTTAGCTATATGGACAATGTACAACCTAATTTATCTAGACTTACTGTAGAGCCTCTATATTTGTTACATGCGGCCTTTTTATGGCTCGTTTGGATTAGGATTATGGTTACCCATAAAGGATGCCATTGTAAACAAGGTCTGAAACAACTTAAATTTAACAATTTCAAGGTTAATCTAAGCCTTAAAGATATTCTTCTTATGGGCGACCTTTTTAATGATTTGACAAAGTGAAAAAAACAAGCGTGCAGTTGGAGATTCATAAATCTGTAATAAGCGTACAGTTGCAGAGAATCATAAATCTGTAACAAGCGTACAGTTGCAGAGAATAAGCTTCGAATAACTGCAACATTTCATTATCAGTAGGTTTAGAATACGACATTTTATAAACTGTTCTGATAGCTTCGAAGAGCTGGGTTAAAGGATATGAGTCAAATCTTCTAATCCCTATATCTTATCAGCCTGATGGTGTATACCTTGGATATTTCAAACTTAGATCATTTGATCAAACAGAATTCATAGTTTGAAATAATAAAGGTCTACAACATTGGGTTGGGTTGCAAAGATATAGAGATTAGAAGCTCAGAGTTTGTGGCAAAGACGCAATTCCTTTTATGTGATTTTTATTAAAAAACAGGTATAAAATTGTAATAAAAGATTATATTATTTATAAAACACGTCCTTAATTTTATTTTATAAAATGTAGTCAGATTTGAGATTTATTGTTAATTTTCTAAATATTTTTGTAATGTGAATATAATATGAAGGTCTTTACCTGGGGAATTCCTTGTAATGTAATGTATTAATGTATTAATTGATTAATTGATTAATTGATTAATTGATGTATAGTAAATATATACAAACTGGTTTTCTTAAGATTTATCCAAAATGAATACAGAACAACGCTGTTGACGTTGTTTCAGAAACTCTTAATAAAGACAGTATTTAGTCTGTAGTAAAACTGGGGACTGTCTAACAATTTATTTATATTTACTTTGCTATCTATTTGTCCGTTCATATCCTAAACGTAAAACTTCTCAACCGATCCTGTCTAATTTTTTGTGACATGAACCAAGATATGATTTCTGCATGTGCTCAGAATTACAAAAAGTTATCTTCAAAACATTAAAATTTTTGTAAAAGGAATTGAGTCTTTGCCACAAATTCTGCTTTTCTAAATCCTATATCTTCGGATTCCAATGTCGTAGACCTTAGATATTTCAAACTATGAATTCTGTTAGATCAAATAATACAAGTTTGAAATATCAAAGATTTACGACATTGGGTTCCAAAGATATAGGGATATAAAATCAGAGTTTGTGGCAAAGATTCAATTCCTTTTGAGAATCAACGGAAAATATGATGAAATCTGCGAATTTTTATTGCGAATGTTTTATATTGAAAACCCTCACTGATAGAGCCACAATTTAAAGTTGAAATTGAAAATAAGCCTAACAGTAGTAATCAAGAGGAAGTTATTTCAAATACCATTATTTTCTTAACGGAGCAATATTGAGGATAATATTTTTTTATTGAATTTCGAATTTGGACAGAAAATCTGCAAACCACTTTTATGGAAAAACCAAAAAAAAAATGTCCGAGAGGAATAGAAGGGTATATCCTTCATATATATCCTTCGGATAAATTTCATGGTTCGTTTGGTGTACTGTACAGCTTGCTCTGGCTGATTAAAATTATAACCGTTATTTTTAAGGATTTTTTATAAACCTACATATGTACAATGTACAATGTACATGTTATGATATAGTATATTGTACCTTAACCATTTTTCATACTGATTCAATTTGCTCTGATTTTTATGTACCATTTCTATACCTTTCATAAGTTTTTTTATTATTATGTATGCACACAAGTTTATTATTTTGTATGTTTAAAAGCTTTAACTAAGCTCTTCATACAGAAATACAACTTTAAGATTAAATTAAATGAGGTTTTAATTTTCTTTGTAAAACTAATGAGATTTATGATGTAATAAATGTAATTACTAAGTTAGACACATCTAGAAGTTTTACAAAATTGACTTAGGTTTTTTTAATTTGTCTTCAAAACTTTTAAAAACCTTCTCACTTTAGTTTTGTTATTTCTCTTTTAGATAACATCCTATGGTTATTTTATAAAAAGTTTATCTGGACAATGAAAGTTTTGATCGCTTAAAAGGATTGTATGCGTAATTTCAAGAGGGCAATGCCTGATTTACAACGATAACCTTAAAACCTTTATTTGATCAAGTATTTATTAAATTTCAATGTTTTTGTTTCTTTAAACTATTTGTTTTTATTTCTGATTTATGAATACAATAAACAATAAAATTCTTGGTTAAGGGAATGCATTTTTGAAATGAAAATAGCTCGTTTTTTATTGCAATCTATGGTCATTGAATTATCACTTTGCAGAACATTTCCTAAATGTTTTAAGTTGTTAACAAATGGTAAAGGTAATTCATTCAACAAAATTGGGGTTATTTCATTATAATTAACCCTTTCTTTAGAAAAAATAAGGAATTTAGTTTTACATTTTTCGATTCGAATATTTGTACTAAATTTCAGTTTAGTAGCTTTGGCAAAATTTTCACAAATTTTCACCATTTCCTGAAGACCTGTTCTGCTAGAATTCAACTCTTTAACTGTGAAGTCATTTCAATTTACGTTTCCTCTCCCTTTAATCATTGAAATTTCTTTTTTTTTCCTGATATACCTTTGATCTATAAAGCTTTCTAATTCAATATAAAAGTTTTAGGAACTTTTAGCATATTCAAATATCCATTTTTTGCATTTATTAAACATATATATGCATAAGACTGTTCGGTAATGGATAATTACATATACTTAAAATTACAGATAAATCACAAAGGTCTGCTGCTTTATTAATTGTAGATTTGCGGTACAGTCCAAACTAGGACCGCAAAGGCTGACCCAGTCATTTAATTGTTCACCGGTTTTGCCTGATATATATACTAAGCTTTCAGGGCATTTTCTTTTTCGTAAAAATAAAAGAATTCGAAATTTTTTTATGTTTTATAATATTTTTTCATTGATTATCAAAATTTTTCAGAACTCAAAACTTTTGTAGACAAATTTTCTAATCCTAATTTTCTAATCATAAACCCCTCCCCTGTGTTAAAAAAAATCGCGGATTTCAAAAACTTGATTAAAATCGAATTTTGGTGAGCAAATTTTTGAAAATTTGATCATCCATAAATCTTTTTTGGGTTATGCAAGGCCCCCCAAAAAAATATTGGCCCGGGCCCTATTGGTTCAACCGTTTTGACCTTTATTGGATCCAAACAAACACCCAGACAAGCAATGTATGTATATAGATAGATGTATGTTGATGGGCCGGCTATCTTAAGAATTTTAAACACATGGAATATGCATTATGGTTGTAAATTGTGAACAAGTGTAAATTAACGAGGTTCCGTTGCTCAAAAACTTCTGATATAGTGTCTTGAATCAGACACATATCGGCCATTTCTAATAATTTATTATGCCAGGCAAAAACTTTATTATAGGCAGAAGTTTAACTTTACTCATGGGATCGTCATTGATCAAGGGTGTTAGGTCGTCTTTACAGTATAATCCTTTGTTGATGACCTTGTGCTTGTATCCTAGGTCCTGACGGCTCCGCATATCCGTATAGAGAGATTCAGAAACTAGCTGGTAAATTCAAGCGGGAGGGCAGACAAGCTAGAAATATTAATTTAGGTAATTCATTATAATTTCGTGAATCCAAGATCTAGCCTAATTTTGAGGTCACATTTCAATTTTGAGAAATTTGTCACAATCATACATAAATCTCCAAATATGCCATGTTCATGGGACAACTCAGCACTTTTTCCGAGATGTGTGTTATAACGGTTAGTGAAATTAGTAACGGATAGAGCCAAATTCTGATACCGGTAATATTTTTAACTAATTATTTGACACTTTAAACTAAACATTTTTGCTGTTTTATTTTAAAATATTACGGAAATATGCCGACTCCTAAAGCCATTAAATAAACGTATTTCGCTTCATAATTAATGCCTATTTTAGTTAGCAAAGTTGCTTCTACATGTTTTTTACCAATTTGTTGTCTAAATTTTCTGTTTTTTCGTGAACAGAATGTTTAGCTTTCCTTCATGGAGATGGGTGCATTCGTTTTTTTTAATTCGTTTGTTCACAGTTCAAATAAATGATCTATTTCGGATGTTTTTTTTCAGTCTTTCGGTAACATTTTGAATTCGTTCGGGCGGGCGGTACATCATTAACGATAAAAAATTGTTAGCAAATTCGCTCTGAACAACACTATATCGTCCACAAAAAAATTGTTTGTTTTAAAATATATTTTTTTTAATGAAAACGATGCAAATCGCCCAACATGCTCGGCTTAGTCGTTTCTTTTTAAAAGAATAAAACAAACAGTAAGTTTGTTTATAAATTGAGAATATATTAAGGAGTCAAGGATCCTCTAGAAACAAGACAGGATCTGCTGAAAATGTACAAACAGAGCAGAGATGGACAATCAATCAACCTAGGTTAGAATTATTAAAAATGTTAATATTTTATCTTGAGTGCTCAACATTAATGTTTTATAATTAATCACCGAAAAATCCACCCCCTGTCATCCCCTTCCACTCCCCCTTTCTCCTTTAATCATTTCTATTTCATTCGACATTAAAATTGTATATCTAATTAAGGTTACCTACAAAGTTTCTCGAAAAAAAGCATAGATTTTATATCCATTTTATTATTTTATTGTGAATTTTTTTTATCAAATAGGCTGTCCTTTCTATGTATAATAAACGACTAATTTATAGTTTTGCATTACATTTTGGGTCACTCGTTTAAAAGTTCTCTAAAATGATATCTGATTAAATATTTTACATATGAAACAATATATTTACTTAATTATAATCTGAAATATGCTATTTCTTAAATATTATATCTAGCAAATTTTACGCATCCGAATTCTCATTTTATCTTATAACTGTTGCACTAAAATTCGCCATATTTAATCAATCTAAATTTTTCGCGGATTTTTCTGTTTATATTGACGCATTTTCAAAAGTAATAAGTGTCAACATTTTTTCAAGGCCAACATTTTTATCCAAATCTTCCTAAGGGTTATATAAGCTACCACACAAAATTTGGACCTGCTTCGCTTTAGCCGTTTAGACGTTTTGACAGCTTTTTACGGCCATACTTTTTTCTTTTTTACTTTTACCTCTGCAACTAATCCAAACTATTAAAACAAAAATGTAAAGCAACATTTTATTAATGTCCTCTTTTTAAAAAATTAATTAAATTTACCCCAGGAGTAGGACGAGTAAAGAGATCTGAAGGTTTAAATGAGACCCAGAGCTGTGTTATTGGGGGATCTCCTCCTAGATTATGCAAGTATGTCTGCAGCTGAAAACTTTAGAATTGTAAATATCGAGATCAATGCTTGATCATCTCCTCATTTTATTAATCTGCAGACCAATTAATTCTTACGTTATATTTCGGTAAATAGTAAAAGCTGCAACCAATCAGAGTGTTGATTGTAGAAACCGAACAGCCGAAGTCATGAAATAAATTTTTTTTTGGCGCGTAATCAATGAGAGAACTCCAATTGGTCCGAAAAAAGCAGAAATATCCTCAAGAGAGGATTCACCAGTAAATCAAAAGTGTCGACTGTACAGAGATTTAGCAATCTGGATTGAGGATATCCAATACAAGAGTTTTCAATTCCGAATGGAGCTTAAAGGAACTGAACGCGTAACTTTAAGTGACAGGTCATTTGATTCATTTGATTCATAACAGAACCCTTTAAACCTTTGACTGTTCAAGGATAGGGGAATTTACTTACTGAAACACAATTTTAGAGATAAACAAACGGAATTTTCTTACCTCGAAGATTAATTCAAGTTTTTAAGGGTACCGATGTGAATCGGGCATTCTCCTCTTTTTAGAAGGGTCATTAGAAATTTAATCACACTTACATTCCCTTTAAAGGCCTCAAAGATTTTAGGATTGTTTTTAAATATTCCATGTTTTTTTAATACAATCATGTTTATTAAATTAAAAAAAAAAAGTTTGTTAAGTTTTTTTCACTCCATCGTAAACTATGATGCTAAATTAAATATGTAAATAAAAGGCGAAATTTAAAAAAAACACAAACTAATAAAGAATTTGGTTTGCTTTGTACAGGGTTACCCACAAAGGATCAGACTATAGAGACGATTTTACTGAATTTATATGGTTTTGTTGTCTTATATTCACGATTCCCTGCAAATATAAACTTGTTCCTTTCTTTACAAAATCATTAGATAGACCATTAGATTACTATATTTAAGGTTGAATACTTAAGTTAACCTTGTAATCGTCACATTTAAAGAATTTTCGGTCGTCTTTAAAATCTAATCATTAATGGGTAACCCTGTATTTTTATTAGAATATATTAGGTCTAGTTACAACACAACTGCACCTATGTATGGGGTGAGTTTAACGAGTGGTCAACCTGTCACAATTGTGCAAAAGTTTCCTGATCTTCTTCAACAAGTTATCTACGAAACTTGCGAGTAAGTAACCAGAAATATTCAAGTTAAAGAACTGATTACTTTTAACTAACCTTAATTTTCTAATTCTGATATCGTTGCAACCTGATGTTAAAGACCTTTGATATGTTGTACTAAGAATTTTTCTAGATCAAAAAGTTTGAAATAGACAACAAGGCTTACATCAACTTGTTGCAAATGTACAAGGATTAAAACATTCTAATCATCCTACTCACCAGTCGAACAGTACACACACATTTCTAAGCTCTTTGACACAAACTCAAATTTTCAAATTTGGAACCTTATGGAAACCTTTGATATTTTCAACTTAGATTATTTGATCTGATAGAATTCATATAGTTTGAAATATCTAAGGTCTACGACATTGGGTTGCAAAGATATAGGAATTAAAAAACAGAGTTTGTAGCAAAGAATTAATTTCTTTAAAAGCTAAATCGTTGTGAATTAGCGCTATTTTACACAAAAGTTAAAAAAAGATAAAAAAAATTGTTGTCTTTTTCTGAAAGGGCATAAAACCCCTAATCGCCCTGTTGTACATCGATCGTACATACAGTACCCACACATCCTAAAATTCAAAGGTATTAAGTCTTTAACAAAAACTCAAATTTTCGAATCCCTTTATCTTTGCAGCAACTTAGATTTTATTATTTCACAGAATTCATTGTTTGAAATGTTTAAGGTCTACGACCCTCCAGGTTGCCAAGATATAGGGATTATAAATAAAGAATTTGTGGCAAAGACTCAATTCCTTTCTATTACGTTGTTATTCTTGAGACTAGAATTTGTTTGCCAGTAATTATTCTTTTAATGTTTTTTTATATTTTAGTACAACAGAGTGTGATGTACTGCACGGAGAATGTATTCAGACTTATGTACCTTACTTGTTCCTTGTTATTCCTCTAGGACCAGTTACACTTACAGGACAGGTACACAGTTGTCGACTATGTTCAGGTTTCTTTGAATTTAGAATTTAAACGACATTTTTCCTTTCTAAAACGGAAAAGTTTTTATTTAAATATAAGCCGTTAACAAATGTCAAAAGAAACGATTTAAAATGCTGATTCCATTTAGAAAGTTAAACAAAACTTCCTCTTACAAGTAACATGTTTATAATTCAGGATTATGTACTAGGAGAGAGTACATGACCATGTTTATACTTCAGGATTAATTACTAGGAGAGAGTACATGTACATGTTTATATTTCAGGATTATGAACTAGTAGAGAGTACATATAACATGTTTATACTTCAGGATTATATACTAGGAGAGAGTACATGACCATGTTGATACTTCAGGATTATATATTAGTAGAGAGTACATGTACATGTTTATACTTCAGGATTATGTACTAGTAGAGAGTACATGTTTATATTTCAGGATTATGTACTAGGAGAGAGTATATGTGCATGCTTACATTTCAGTATTATGTACTAGTAGAGACTCTCTACTAGAGAGTGGATGTACATGCTTATATTTCAGGATTTTGTACTAGTGGAGAGTGGATGTTTATATTTCAGGATTATGTACTAGTGGAGAGAGGATGTACATATATGTCTATATTTCAGGATTATATACTAGTGAAGAGAGGATGTACATGTCTATATTTCAGGATTATATACTAGTGGAGAGTGGATGTACATTGTACATGCCTATATTTCAGGATTATATACTTGCGGAGAGTGGATGTACATGTCTATATTTCAGGATTATGTACTAGGAGAGAGTACATGTTATATTTCAGGATCATGTACTAGTAGAGACTCTCTACTAGAGAGTGGATGTACATGCTTATATTTCAGGATTATGTACTAGGAGAGAGTACATGTTAATATTTCAGTATTATGTACTAGGAGAGAGTACATGTTAATATTTCAGTATTATGTACTAGTAGAGACTCTCTACTAGAGAGTGGATGTACATGCTTATATTTCAGGATTTTGTACTAGTGGAGAGTGGATGTTTATATTTCAGGATTATGTACTAGTGGAGAGAGGATGTACATATATGTCTATATTTCAGGATTATATACTAGTGAAGAGAGGATGTACATGTCTATATTTCAGGATTATATACTAGTGGAGAGTGGATGTACATTGTACATGCCTATATTTCAGGATTATGTACTAGCGGAGAGTGGATGTACATGTCTATATTTCAGGATTAATGTACTGGTAAAGAGCGGATGTACATGTCTATATTTTAGGATTATGTACTAGTTGAGAGTGGATGTACATGCAGACCAAAGTATGCTACTCCTGGCACTGATCCTAATCCAAAAGAAGTTATTCCTAGTTTTAATTAAATCATTTTATAATTTGCTGTTTGTTTTGTTCTTTTATAGTATTTCTAATTTAAATCCTACTCACTGCTTCCATGATAGGAAAACTTTATAAGTATTTAGAAATTTCATTCTTTTTTATAAGCGCAACATTATTTCTAATTGTTCTTATCCTTTAATTTCAATCATATAAGATAATAAAATATTTAGACATTTTTAAATTTTTGATAAATATATCATACATACAATTATCTTCCTTCTTTTAGAGGTATTGTTTTGACAAAAAATGGGAATTGTTAACAATGCATAGCCAAGTTTACAGTTGCAAGAGACCGTGAACGTATGAAAACGTATAAAACGTATAAAATTGCCGTACAGTCGTCTCTGATATAAGTCTGAATCTGCTTAATATGATAATCTTTAAAATATAATCTTGTGAGCCGAACAAAAGGAATAATACTCGAAAGAGGGAAATATAAGGCGAATTGGCAAGGAAAACACTCTTTTCTACCAGACACACATAGATGAGAACAACTTCTTGAAAATGTATATTTCAGTAACGAGGTTTCCTACAAAATACAAATTGTTATTGGCGTACATGCATATAAATAATAATTGTTAATAAAGATTAAACAGTTGAAGGTTTTATCAATAAATGAGTATTGTTGTGAATCAAACAATTGGTTTAGAAACATGTACCATTGAGAATTGAACAAAGGCTTAAAAGGTATTGGAATTCTAGGTTTTGTAGGTTTAGCAGGTTTAGCAAGATTTGGAAACTCTAGGTTTAGCAGGTTTAGCAGGATTTGGAAACTCTAGGTTTAGCAGGTTTTGCAGGATTTGGAGATCATATTTTATTGCTGTTGTGAATCGATAAAGAAAGGGTTTAAAGGCACTGTTGTGAACTGATAAATAAAAGGTTTAAAAGGTACTGTTGTGAATTAGGTATATGGAACTTACAATCTAGAAAACTGTGATATATATATATATATATATATATATATATATATAGTATTCTTTACAGCTAGTAACTATTTTCCCCCCTAAATGTGTACTTTTTCTGGCCAAATTTTTTTCAACTTTTTTAACTATATGATAATTTTGATTGAGTTCATACACACAAATATATTTTTAGTAACTATTAACCATCAATAAAACAAAGCGGTAAGAATAAAATGGGCGTATACAGGATTTAATGTACGCAAATGACCATGCACCAACAAAAAAATTTCCCCCCGCCCTCTATTTTTTTAGTTCTAATTAGTTAAATAAATTAATCGTGAGCTCTTTTTTAAAACTTTTTAAAGTTTTTAAAATTTTCATGAAGTGAAATCCGTATTCAGGTTTTTTGGACAAAAGTAAAAGGAATATTATGTTAATTTTGTTGACTTTCCTAACACATGACCCCCACAACAGGCTATGAAGCGTGAAGCTAGGTGTAACTTAAACCCGAATATAAAAAGAATATATATATTTTTTCTTTGAGGTAAATAATTTATAATGTCGTCTTCAAAAAAGAGTTCTTAAAGGTTTTAAAATAAAACATTAATTATTCATATAAAGTTTATTTTTTATTTCTGTTGTTCTTCTGAAATAGGGGTCTGTCAAAAAATCGTATACTAGGAAATTACCTGAAATAGTTTTGTTTTATTTTCACTATTTATAAACTTACTTTTAACCCTTAAATTTTAAAACCAATTTTCAAAAGATGTTTAAAATAATTCAAAAAACTGCAACTTGTGTTTTAATTTGAGGGGAAGGCGTTTAAGTCAGTACAATCGGTTTTTTCAAGTTTTTTTTCGAATTACAAGTTTACAAGTAAAAAAGCGAAACTGTTATTTGATTTTTTGATTACTTTGTTACCATGCCGTTTAAAAGCGCGCTTGTTAGAAATCAAAAACAAAAAATGTTTTCCTTGTATTGGTATAACCGACGACTAATGTAAAGGAAATGTTATCAGAAACGATAGAATTTATTATTTATTATTTATTTAATATTAATTTATTACGATTCATCAAAAAGATAAATAATTAATGTTTTTTTTTAAAAAACCGTTAAGAACTCTTTTTTGAAGACGACATTATAAATTATCTACCTCAAAAAAAATTTATATATTCTTTTTATATTCGGGTTTAAGTAACACGACATTTCAAATATTTGTATTCTCTAAATTATCTTTTTACCTTATGACTGTCTGATTAGAATACCTCTTTAAAGACTATTTTTATTCCGTTTTAACCATGGCTACATCTGTTTCCATCTTGTTGTTTTAACCATGGCTACATCTGTTTTCATCTTGTTGTTTTAACTTTAAAACAATTATAAATCCATAAAAAAGTTTTAAGAGAAAGGAATTATATTAAACCTTTGTGTACTTTTTTTTATTCATACTGCGTTCTTAAGTGAATTTCATTCTTGACGTGCTATAAAGAAGCCACTGTACTACAGGGTGTCCCAAAAAACATGGGAATTCGGTGACGAATTCGATATCGTCTTTGTTATGAATTAGCATTGTAATACCTAATTTCAAAAGCCATAATATTATTATGTCTGCTAGGGTTTATTTTATGATAACGGTAAAAGACTATAAAGATGTGTTTATACTGTCACCACAAGATGAACAGTGAAAACGGACAAGTTTACTCTGTTTGTATTCTGCAATTTTCTTGTTTTACTAAGTACAACCGTATGCAGCTAGTCAAAACATAAACAAACAAAATGTGCACATAGCAGACGAAACTCTTACAGATTAAAGCTTTCTCAGCAGGTATCACTATACTAAATCTAAGACTTATTTAAAAAGACGATATCGAATTCGTCACTGAATTCCCATGTTTATTGGGACACCCTGTATAATGTAAAATTAGCTGTATAAATTATAACACTGTCCTAAAAAGTTTCGATTGGTTCCCAGATTTTCTCAAACAAATTTAGGATATTTCTAGAATATTTTTTCTCAATTTAAATAAGAATTAAAATGAAATTTAATTTATATTTTATTTCTGCTTAGTTAGAAAACTTATAAAATCTAAAAATAACCATCAAGACTATAGTGCATGAGCAATAGCTAGATTCGTTTACAGAAACTTTTAATATTTTCAGACTTTTAAAAGTTTTTACAACAATATGAGAAGGGCCCAACGATTAAAAATTGTATTCTGTAGAAGTTTGCTTTTATCAAACATACAAAAAACCAAAAATTTTCATTTTAAAAACGCCAAAACGATCATTTTAAGACGATCTTTTTTGCCTTATATTTTCTTTAAGGGTAACAAATTTGCATGTTTGATAAAAGCAAACCTCTACAGAATACAATTTTAAAATGCAGGAACCTTCTCATATTGTTTATTGAACTATTTAAAATCATAACTTGAGTCTGAAAGTCGTCTTCCAATTTCACCGTTTTATCCCTGCAAGAAAACCCGGACTGCATGTAGTGTACAGCTGTAGTTAAGCCAGCTCCTTGGTGTTAAAAATAGAATATTAGTAGAATATTATGATTATTATTATTATTATTATTATAAAACTGTGCGGAATTGAAACTATCTGTTTCCTTTTACTCGCACTCGCATCTCCCTATAACTATAAACTATAAACTCTGGAATCGTCACATTTTTAAAGTTTCAGGTCGTCTTTGCGGTCTCCTCCTTGTTGACTACCCTGCATATCGATGACACTTTTGGGGAAATATTTTCATTAATATTAAAGATACAAATTATATATTTCAAAGCTAAGCTGTTTTAGCTAGAAACAGTAAAGACGACTTGTATTCTACCTGTGTTATGCCTCTAAATAATTAATAAATCTAAACAGTTCTGATTTATATCAGGTTTATGCGTTTTATTATAGTGGTAGGCGATTATATCAATATAATAAAGACGACTTTCAGTTTCAGTTTTAATTTACATCAATCATTTACACAGAATGGATGCACAAAAACATGGAAACAAATAAAAAAGTCGTCTTCATTATATTGATATAATCGCCTACCACAGTAGTTACTTACATTTTAATTATAAATATACACAGCACATGAATAATTATTTGTTAACACACATGCTGTGGCTCTGTGGTATACAGGATTACCATTAAAATATAAATAACTTGTTTAATTCTTTTGTAAGCATAGAGAAGCATCAAGGCATTAAATAAGAGTATTCAAGACAGAAGACTTGAATTTAACTTGGAATTGTCATATTTAAAGAGTTTCAGGTTGTCTCTATAGTTTCGTTCTTTTTGGTGAACCCTGTATAATCTAAATACACTAATGTTTTTAGTTCTAAAGAGGAGTTAAGTGTATCTTGCAGTTTTGTTAACACACAAGAAAGACGATCTTTCTATTTCAATTTTGATTTTTACCAAATGTTCAATCAGCAGAGACACAAAAACATGTCAACCAAAAGAAGTTGTAAATGAACATTTTCTCTCTATGTTTGCTTGTAGTTCAAAAAAACCCTTGTTAGGGCTCAAAACATTATTTATAAAAGTCGTCTTTATTGTATTGATATAATCGCCGACCGTTGAGTTTTGAAATATAACAGATTCATCATGTAATTAAGTAAATTTTTTAAGTATAAAATAAGCCTTAAATCTTTGTGGTAGTGTTACTGTTGTCTTGAATCATTATATTTTGAAGATCTTAGCTTATCTTGGCATTTGGCCTTGGTCTATAATACATCTGGTCAGGATAATTAGATACTTAGATAATTATACGTATTGAAAATTACATATCTGATACATCAAAAATTTAGAGGTAGGGGGGGGTGGTGGGTAATGTATCTTGATGTATCCCCTCAAAATAATAATATATTAACATTGTTTGAACAATTGCAGTTTTCTTTAAAGGGGCTGTAAGCGTAATTTTGAGTTACTCTCCATAAAAAGATGGCAATGTCCAATTTCCATCGGTACTCTTAAAAAGGTGTGTCCAATTAAGTATGGTTAGATAAAAATGTTTAAAAACAGATTAATACTACTGAAATGACTTGTGCATTTCTACTGCATGAAAACATAAAGGAATTGACCAATTTTAAAGCCTAGAAAAACTACAGTAGCTTCCACATCATTTATTAGAGAAAAGTTTCAAGGGTACAGTTGTGAATTGGGTATTGCAATTTTTGCATTTGAGGGTTAATTGAAATTACGCTGAACCAATCTGAATCGAACATATCCAGTAAAAGAGAATAAGTACTGTTACTCAAATCTCACAGAGTATTTGATAGGTCGGGTTGACTGAAAGCGTAATTTTTAGTGACCCTCCATACAAAGATGCCTGATATAAAATGATATCCTTGAAACCGTAATCTTGTTACAAATGTGGTAGATACCATTGTTTTTTTTTACCATTCTTAAAAGCAAGAAATTCGCAAGTCACTTTCCCATAGAAACTGCAAATGAAAATATATCGTTTAAAGAATTAAAAACAATGAAATCTAATTCATATTTGATCATACAAAGCTATTAAGGGTACAGGCTGTATTGTAATCAGGCATTGTCAGCATTGCCTGCAGGGTCACTTAGAATACATGCCAATTACAGTCCCTTTAAAAGTGAGGTTGTTTGATGATGTTTTCATCTGTGAAAAGGGTTTCATCAAATGAGTTTAGATATCTATCTATCATATTCACATCATCGATATCTTTATCATCATAGATATCTATCATATTCACATCATCGATATCTTTAGCATCATAGATATCTCTCATATTCACTTCATCGATATCAAGGAACAATTCTTCCCGTTCCTTTTCGTTTATTGACTCATTCTTCATTTCTAGCTTCGTCTTCTTAGGAGCTGACGAAGCGTTTCTCATTCTTTCAAACATTCTAAACAAAGTACAGTCATAATCTCAAACAATCGGAATAATCAAGGTCGTCCATCTTCAATCACTACATGGCTATTTTTAAATAAGGAGATTGAAAATGAAATCTGTAACAAAAATCAAAATAACATGGTGAGATTTTATATCTATAATTTCAATTTTGGGGGGTCATAGAAGTTCAGTCAAATTGTATTGCTTCAATATAATTTGTTTGCCATTAGGAAAACTTAATTTTATATAAAAACAGAACTCAGAGCTGATATCAATTGTTATCAAATGTTGTTAAAATTATGTTAAATTATGTTAATACAATTTAAATATAATCTCAAAATATTGATAACACGCAGTAAATCTATTAAATCTTTACTTAATATTGTGATTGCGTGAGTGACGTTGAAATACATTAAACACAGGAATCCATGATTGCACTACACCCCAAAGATAAATGCAAAGAAAGTTATTTCAAAAGTGTACTGCAGTGAACTGTCTCTGGGCGGTAATGTTCACACAAAACGGATGTTACCGCCTGACATGGGATCCATTTTTCACATAAAAAAATCAATGAAATATTCTGGTCGTAGGAAACTATTATGTGAATTATCAAAATTATCAAATGTAATGCTTTTAACCTCCTCGGATACTAAACGAACACGGATGCATCTATTCTTGTTTACAAATTCCGCCCAAAGAGAACTGGTTTCAATATTTACGCAGAGTATTAACGACCGCAATTTACTTTCCTTGCATTACACCCTTGCTACACCCCGTCCCGGAGTTATCCAGAGCCCACGATTTTCAAGCTTAGGCTCGGGTCCTAATTCACTCAACATGACAGCTTGTGTCACGTAATTGACGCTGCAAGATCTTTGTTTAGTCAACGTTTAGTCTTCTTCTCATAAAACCCGGAATGCGCCAATTCCTGGCATCCTGCCATGAAAATCCGCAAATAGAATATTAAACCGGTTTTTTGAACTCAACTTTGTGGAAAATAAATTGCAGCTTGAATCCGAAAGCTCAAGCTATAAATAAGGCCCAACGACAGCTTAGACCTGAGTTGTATTTTCTTGAATTTTTTAAAATCACCGGCTCAGGATATCATTACATATATATAACAATGTACTCTGTAATGTCTGTCAAGCTAAAACGGTTTAAGCGTATCGGATATATCTAAACATTAAGTACTCAGGGTTTGGTTTCAAATACCCAAAATTAAACCAATTCTCTTTAGAATATATAACTTTTATTTAATAAAGACAAATTTTTATTTGTGGAACTCTAGGGTGTCTCACGAAACATGACAGTCAGTGAAAAGTTTTAAATGTCTTCTTCCATACACTGCATTAGATATTGAAAACTTTTTGCTGCTTATTTTGTTTAAAAATCTTTTATTCAAATATATTTTGCAATCAATTTTAGCGTAAGAAGACTTCGATACATTATTTTTTATTGTTCTCTTTGGTATCAAACAACGTAACAAATTATGGAAGAGCACATTTTAAACCATTCACTAACTGTCATGTTTCGTGGGACACCCTGTATGATCTGGCGACACCAAGATGTCTGATTTTGGTGCCTATAGAATATAAATAGTTTATTGTTCGTCACATTTATTTAGTTGCGCATTTATTTCTAAATTTAAAACTTAAGTTCTAAAAGTCCTATTTCAGTTGTAGTGCATTGATGTTAGGACAGTATGTATAGAGTTCTGTATGCATCAATGATTGATTTTAATATCTCTTGATAATATGGACGTTTTAAAAGGACTAGGTGTATAGAGTTCTGTATGCATCAATGATTGATTTTAATATCTCTTGATAATATGGACGTTTTAAAAGGACTAGGTGTATAGAGTTCTGTATGCATCAATGATTTATTTTAATATCTCTTGATAATAAGGACGTTTTAAAAGTCTTCGGAAAGATTGGATTAGATAAGATAAAGACATCGGCCCTAATGGTATTTTGCTTACAATACAAATATAGAAACAAACCCGGTCTTCCTCTCCTCAATAAAATTTAAGTTATTTTTATGGGTTTTAAACCATCTTAGCTCTTCCTTTGGCTTTACAACTTGAAAGCGTTTTTGAACTACAAGAACAAAGAGTTTCACACGAAACCAATCTTGATGAAAAGTACAAATAAAAAGATAAACAATTTATTTATCAATTGGTAAAAATAATTTGATTCCAAAATGGGCAGAAGAAAATTTTAAAGTTTTTTTCTTAACCCTGATCAAGTCCAATACAGATCTTTTTATGATTTTGTCATTAGTTGATATATGGCATTTAGTTATACCTCGGACTTCATTGATTAGACTGTCAGGGAGGTTTTTTTTTTATAAAAATTGAAGAAGAACCTGCAATTCATACTTGCAATACATATCTGCAATTCATACCTGCAAATTGCAATTCATACTTGCCTTTCATACCTGCAATTCATACTTGCAATTCATACCTGCAAAGCATATTTGCTTTTTATATCTGCAATGCATACTTGCTTTTCATACCTGCAATTTGCATACTTGCTTTTCATACCTGCAATTCATACTTGTAATTCATACCTACAATTTATAATTGGAATTCATACCAGAAATCCATTATTACAATTCATACCTGCAATTCATTATTACAATTCATACATGCAATTCATTATTACAATTTATACTTGCAATTATTACTTGCAATTTATAAAAATTGAAGAAGTACCTGCAATTTATAGTTGCAACTCGTACCTGCAATTCATACTTGCAATACATACCTGCAATTCATGCTTGCAATTCATACTTGCTATTCATACCTGCAATTCATACTTGCTTTTCATACCTACAATGCAATTCATACTTGCAATTCATATCTATAATTTATAATTGCAATTTATACCGGCAATTTATTATTAAAATGCATACCTGCAATTCATACTTGCAATTCATACCTGCAATTCATACTTGCAATACATACCTGCAATTCATTATTACAATTCATACCTGCAATTATTAGCTGCAATTTCATCCATTTCTTTAGAGAACACGTATTTGTTTACCAGAAAATCAAAACGATCAAATCTAAAGAATATATGTTATAGTTATATGGGACGGGTATATATATATTATAGTTATGGGACGGGTATATATACATATATAGTTATATGGGACAGGTATCATGCGTGTGAAACAGTTTTTGTTGTACTTTATTTTTGATCAACATTTCATTTTTATCTGAAACAAACTAGAAAACATAAAAATCCTCACAAAAACTTTTTCGAACTAAATAATGCCTAATAAAATTACATAAATAGATAAACTTACTTTTCTTCCTTTTCACGCTGCCACTCAACCTTTGAAGAATCTGTTTGCTTTTTTTGCCTTGTAATGCTTCTATGGGAAGAGGTGGATGGAAAACTTGTTTCTTTTCCGTTTGATGAAAAAGATTGAGAGGAAATTCTTGAAAAATTCTCCTCAAATATAATATTTAACTTGGATTCATTCTCCTGATTGATTTGGCTGAATTGGTTCCCTGCAATGAATTGGTTTCCTCCGATGAATTGGTTCCCTCCGTTGAATTGGTTCCCTCCGATGAATGGATTCCCTCCGATGAACTTATCTTCTTGGGAAGGATTTCCTTGGCTGATCTGATTTTCTCCATTGATTGGATTACCTTGCCTGCTTTGATTTTTTTGATTGATCTGATCTTCTTGATTGATTGGATTGATTTTATTGGCGGTAGAAGAATGAAAGTGGATAACAGACATCGTGGCTTGTAAGGAAGTTTTCTACATGACTCAGAAAACTCTGTTCAGCTATTCAGAATTCCACATCTATAAAGCCTCTTCCACTCTGAAAAACAAATGAGTTTAAGTTTAACTTTTAACAAAATTCAATGGAAAAATGTTGTTTTTTGAATATTTAGATTTCTTTAGAATATTCAATGGTTGACTGAAATTCTTATTATCAATTGTTTTATCTTTGCCAATTAAAATTTTTTTTTATTCTTCTTGTTCTTATGCTTCTTCTATCTATACCTAAAGTGTTTCTTCTTCTTGTGCTACTTCTATCTATACCCAGAGTGTTTCTTCTTCTTGTACTTCTTCTATCTATACCCAGAGTGTTTCTTCTTCTTGTGCTACTTCTATGCATAACTAAAGTGTTTCTTCTTCTTGTGCTTCTTCTATCTATACCTAAAGTGTTTCTTCTTCTTGTACTTCTTCTATCTATACCTAAAGTGTTTCTTCTTCTTGTACTTCTTCTATCTATACCTAAAGTGTTTCTTCTTCTTGTGCTACTTCTATGCAAAACTAAAGTGTTTCTTCTTCTTGTGCTACTTCTATCTATACCCAGAGTGTTTCTTCTTGTTGTGCTACTTCTATGCATACCTAAAGTGTTTCTTCTTCTTTTGCTACTTCTATGCAAAACTAAAGTGTTTCTTCTTCTTGTGCTACTTCTATCTATACCCAGAGTGTTTCTTCTTCTTGTGCTACTTCTATGCATACCTAAAGTGTTTCTTCTTCTTGTGCTACTTCTATCTATACCCAGAGTGTTTCTTCTTGTTGTGCTACTTCTATGCATAACTAAAGTGTTTCTTCTTCTTGTGCTTCTTCTATCTATACCTAAAGTGTTTCTTCTTCTTGTACTTCTTCTATCTATACCTAAAGTGTTTCTTCTTCTTGTACTTCTTCTATCTATACCTAAAGTGTTTCTTCTTCTTGTACTTCTTCTATCTATACCTAAAGTGTTTCTTCTTCTTGTACTTCTTCTATCTATACCTAAAGTGTTTCTTCTTCTTGTACTTCTTCTATCTATACCTAAAGTGTTTCTTCTTCTTGTACTTCTTCTATCTATACCTAAAGTGTTTCTTCTTCTTGTACTTCTTCTATCTATACCTAGAGTGTTTCTTCTTCTTGTTCTTTCTATACCTATAGTGTTTCTTCTTCTTGTTCTATCCATACCTAGAGTATTTTTCTTGTTATATCTTTACCTAAATTCTTCTTCTTCTTGTTCTAAACCTAGTAGAATTCTTCTTGTTATATCTACACTTAGAGACTTTCTATATATATCTAGAGTATGCTTCTTGTTCTATCTATACCTAGCTGAATTCTTCTTGTTCTATCTATACCTAGCAGAATTCTTCTTGTTCTATCTATACCTAAAGTATGCTTTTTGATCATACCTAGTGTAAACCCGTGTTACCTTGCGGGTCCGGATCTTGTATATAACTGGTAGAAGGATAGGATGGATTGATGGTGGGTTCCCTGGATACAAAATAGAACCATAATAATATTGTATCTTTGGACCGAATACGTATGACAGGATGTATGTCGGATACTCTGGTATCTATACAGTTGGAAAAATTTATTGAAAGCTTTTACTAAATTTTAAACGCAGTTTGTGATAATATTAATAATAATTTTTAAAGGGAGTGTTCGCAAAAATGAAAGGGGGTATAGGCTTAATGCGATAAAAAAGGGCTTTTGATCGCTACTAATCTTACTTTTGTCTGTTGCGTCTATAAGGAGAAAATTGTTAAAAGCGACAAATACCGAAGAACGTAGTGTCCATACAAATTCAGAAAGATGCAACATACGACTTAGACCGTGAAAAAATCTATTTAATTTCAAACAAATCATTCAGATATTACAACCGATAGTCATCGATTATCTTTCGCCACATTTGTATATAGTTGATTTTTCATAGCCGGTCACTCCATTTAAATACGATTAATCCGAACAATTTTAAAAGGACTGTAAGCGTAAATATAGGTGAACCTCCATGCAAAGTTGGCAATGAACGATTTTACAAACCTTGAAACCTTTATCTTTATGAAATGCGGCAGATTTAGTGTTTTTCTTGGTATAAAAGGGTTTAATTAATTTACGTTTTCCAGCAGTAGAAATGAGCAATTCGTTTTTGCAAATCATGTCTAATTTATAATTGATCAGTTTATAATTGATCAGTTGGGTGCTCATGTATTTCTACTAAACTAAACTAAACTAAATCTGAATGGCAACTACCCTTACTACCTAAACTACCGTTTGTTTTTATAGAAACACCACCCCCACCCTGAATCTGTAGAAACAAGTTTAAAACAATTCAGCTTCAAGGGTGGGGGTGGGGTTTTTCTAAAAACAGACGGTAGTTGGGGCAGGTAATGTAGTTAAACCCAACAACCCCAACTATCGTCAAATTCTGCTTTAAAGGTGGGGGTGGGTCTTTCTAAAAACAGACGGTAGTTGGGGTAGTTGCCATTCAGATTCTGCTTCAAAGGTGGGGTAAAGGGTGGGGGTGGGGTCTCTCTAAAAACAGATGGTAGTTGGGGTAGTAAGGGTAGTTGCCATTTAGATTCAGCTTCAAGGGTAGGGGCGGGGTCTCTCTAAAAACAGACCGTTATAGTTGGGGTAGTTAGGGTAGTTGCCATTTAGATTTAGCTTTAAGGGTGGGGTAACTACCCTTACTACCCCAACTACCCTCTGTTAATATGAAATTATTAAAAAACATATTTTAGGACTATTGTCGTTTTGAACGTTAGTTCTTAATAAACATTTATTCCAAACTAACGTTGGTTCAATCATTGTTTAGTTCAATTGATATGACACCATCAACACCAGATATCAAAACCGGGGTTTCAAAAGTTAAAGAGTACATCTTAACATGACAAGCTGATTGGTTAAATTTTTCACTTCTTTCTTGGATATCGAATTTAAAATAATCTTGGGTTAAGTAAAACCAGGAGTTTAAGCATTAATCTTGATATCCACCATCTAGTAATTATCGATAGAATGGAGGAAAAGATGGATATTTTTGATCTTACAGTGAGCTTACGTCCCATTGGAAACAAATATCAAAAATGCCAACACTCAAAAGATGAAAAAGTATGAACATTTTATCACAGATATAACAACTAGGGATGTGTCTGTTTACCCTTTTGAAATCGGCTCAAGAGGATGTATCTCACCGTCAAATGAAGCAAATCTGAAGAAACTGCACAAGTTCTGCAAACCCAGTGCTAGTTTCTTAAAGCAATATGCGAAACTCTTTTAAGCCTTACAGTGCTGTCATCATACCATATTTTTAGAAAACGAAAAACACGAGACTGGGACCAAGAAACTCCATTTCTGAAAACCATCTCTGAATAACTAAACTATACTCATGCTAATAGTCTTGTAGTTATGGCACCTGTTTTTTGGCAAACCCTGTCAATCATAATATTAATAATAATAATAATAATAATAATCATAATAACAATAATAATAATGATAAATGTATTTCAAACTAGATTGGTTATTACATTACATTTTATGGTCAAGGTATATATATAGTAGTCGAAAAATTAAAATCTTTTACAGTATTTATACATAAATTTAGAGTCTTTCTCTAGTTTGAGGACTGATAGAGTCTAGAGACTGTTTGAGTTAGCCATCTGATTAAATAGTTTTTTGGTTGATCCTTTCATGAAGCGATGAGAACAAGATAGTTGTGAAGAATGGTTAGTGATTCCTCGAGTGCAGGTGAACTACGGCAATACAAATATTCATTAAATTACAGTATGAGTCTGGAGCATAGATAAATAAATAAACATAGATAGCTTATGTACGCAAAATCACCAAGAATTGTACAGTCCACGAACTCATACTTCCAGGGGTCAAAGTGTACTTCAATGATAAGCGGGGTGGTTTGGTGTTTTAATGGATTTCATAATAGAGTGTAAAATTACTCCGGGAATGGAACTATTTAAACAACAAAATTTCACTGAGCAATACATCATATTGACGAGAACTAAAGAAGGACATGAGAAGGACTAAACTAACTTAAATTTCTCTCTGCAGAAGTCATGTACACCACAAGTACTCAATGACATAAGAACAGCCAATGTTCACAACCGACCTAGTTAATCTTCTATATATAAATTTGGCTTGTCTGTTTGTCTGTCTGTCTGGGTGTTTGTTTGTTTGTTTGTATCCAATAAACGTCAAAACGGCTGAACCGATCGGGCCCAAATTTTTTGTGGGACATCTAGGGACTCCAGGGAAGGTTTATGAATCATCAAAATTTCAAATATTTGTCTCCATCAAAATTCGATCGTCATTAAATTTTTAAAAATTTTGAAAATCCGCGAAATTTTTTGTGAAAATCCGCGAATTATTTTTGTTTTGTTTTACGATGTACACAAAGAGAACATGTTCACAATTAATTTAGGAGATGGGCGCGAAGCGCCCTCTAAGGCTAGAAAGAAGGGCGCGAAGCGCCTTGAATGTCTAGTCTTTAAAATAGGAATATCTTTAAAACATCCCTGTACATTTATATCTTTCAAGATGAAAAATGTCGTCTTATGCGCAATCTATCTTTATCTATGGTCTGGAGGATCTGGAGCAGCAGTCACAGAACAATAATTTACATTTTACGGGAATCAGAACAAATAATATTGATACAAGAAATAATTTTATATGAAATTAAATGGTCGGCACCTTTTTCAGAGAATTTCTATTTGTTAAGACTTTCAGAAATTGGATTCAGGAATTCCATTTACTGGGCAAAATGAAGGATGTAAGATTGCGCAGGGACGATTTTTTGCAAATCTGTAAACAATGTTATTTGTTCTCAGAGAATTAGACTTTTTAAACATGCTTTCAAATCAGGAGGGAAGTTTATTGTGAACAAAAGAATGCATAAACAACTTGCAGTTTAAGTCAAACAAATCGTTAAACTTCAGGATATTTAATTTCTTAAATATTGGACCAGTGTGGGAATTGTATTTGCTTTTGTCCATATTTCTTATATATTTAATTTTTGATGGTTGAACACCTCCCCAGGCTAATAAACCAAACTCAATTTGTGGTCTAAACAACCCATTATAAAGGTTTACCAAGGTTTTAGTTGGAAAAATGTTCTTTAATCTTGATATTTGCAATGAGGCAAGATTGATTTTACTCTTAACTTTGTTTCTATGGGTATTCCTGGAAAGATTTGGTCAATATTCACCCCTACAAATTTAAACAATTTAGTTGGGCAGTCAATTCCTATTCTATCTATAATTTCCCCACCTATTGATAACGAAGAATTATTTAGATTTTATATTGTTTAATGTAATTTTGCTTTAGACTGTGAATCGAACATTGTCAGCTCTGCATGGAGGATCGCTTGAAATTACGCTTAAAAAGTCTATTTCAGGTGGAATAATTGTTGTGTGATCATGAGAAGTAAGATTTACAAATAGATAACCCAGGCGGCATGCATAAAATTACATACCCTGTGGTATAAATAAATTAACACTGAATTGTTTCTTTACGACTTTTTTCACCTAAATGGGAGATTCTTAGTAATTGAAAGAAATAACGCTGCCTAGTAAATACATACCTAAACATTAACTAATTATTTTAAGCGTTAAAGGGACTCCCTATGTACGTTTGAAAGGCTCTCAATTTAAAGAGTTACTCTGCAGTAAATCTGTGTCAAAACAAATGAATTGAGTTTTTGCCACAAACTAAAATCTTCTGATTCCAATATCTTTGCAATCTTATGGTGCAAACCTTTGATACTTCAAATTTAGATTTTTTTATCTATAAGTATTAATAGTTAAAAATATCTAAGGTCTACGACATTGGGTTACAAAGATATAGAGATTAGAAAATCAGAGTTTGTGGCAAAAGCTCAACTCCTTTGGTGAAGTAGTCATAGTTTTCGATTGTCAGTTGTCTAAAATGATGACTTGCAGAATTTTGTACGCATAGGCAAGGAAGAAAAATGTAAGAATTCATAAATTTAAGAATTCATAACGATGCCTTCCTCATCGTAACTCCGAATTCCGAAATATGTTTTAAAGGAACACCGTTGTCAATTAGGTTAGAAGCGGGATGGACTTGATAACTTGAAAGGAGTTGTTAACCATATTCTATATATTCATTTATTTGAAAATAGTTGCACGTTCAATTCACAATGGTATTCAGCCTGCACACCTTTTTTGAGCAAAAATGATGCTCTTTTGCTCTTTATACAATGCTAAAAAATAGCAACGTTTAAATGTCGTTCGATCTACGATCATCCCTAGCTTTCAAAATCGTTTCCTATCTTAAAATGTATTTGTTGTGTTCATCAATTAACAATTTTCAGTTAACTATATCGTTATTTATCGTTTAGGTTGTTAAAGATGTTTCATCGTCAGCAATAATAAATAATTAATATTATATTATAATTATTATTATATTAATATTAATATTATTATAATAATATAAAACATTTTTTTTCCATTTAAAGTTCATAGTTTGTTAACTTATC